GCCCTCATAGGAGCCCTTTAAACATTAAGGAAGCCTTTAAACCCTTGGCACAGAAAGGCTAGCAACCCCCAGGCCCTGAACACTACACTCCCTACACATTTTTTAGTGAATGGTTTAGGATTTCGGGCTTATAATCCCTAAACCCTAAACCGTTATAATCTAGAGCGCTCACAGGAACCGTGGGAACCTTTTCACGCAAAGGATCCTAAGTACCTGCAGAGTAGGAATTTTACACAGGAAGATACTTAAAGGATCATGGGACTTAGCAACTGGGGTTATAATTAGGGTAACTATACTTGTAACTACTTATAACCCCAGTTAAGGTACTTATAACCTTACTTACTAAGTCCCACGATCCTCCAAGTATTCGGTTCGGCCTTGAGGTCGGTTTGCTGTGGCTTTGCTCCAGCTGCCTCTTCAACATCAGCTGCGGCCTCAGGCTGAAATGAGACTTGGGCAGCCTCAGGTCTCCTCTTGGAGGCCCTTTTGACTTAGTAAGTCTACTTAGTATCCCCTAGAAACCCTATTATAATCCCCATAACCCACCTTACTAACCCTACTTACTAAGTCAAAAGGGCCTCCAAGCTCGCTCTCTCTCTCTCTCTCTCTCTATCTCTCTCTCTCTCTCTCTCTCTCTCTCTCTCTCTCTCTCTCTCTCTCTCTCTCTCTCTCTCTCTCTCTCTCTCTCTCTCTATATATATATATAGATATATCTATATATATATATATATATCTCTCTCTCTCTCTCTCTCTCTTGCGTTTTGTTGTGTTTTGGTTGTTTTCCTCTTTCTCTACATATATATATATACACACTTCACACATACATAGGTATATATATATACACAGGTATTTATCTATTCGTTTATTAATGTAGCTACATACATTTGTAGGTATGCATAAGCGCAAACCTAAGCACATGCATACATGTGTGTGTGTGTGTGTATATATATACATATGCATACATATGTATGTACCTATACATATATATATATATGTGTGTGTATACAGGTAGATAGATGCAATATGCGCGGGGGGTATTCTGGCGATATTGGTTTCAAGCTTGGTGGGGTATATAGAGGCCTGGGGTTTGGAGGTTACGGTGGAGGTTTAGAGCGGTGGGATCTAGGGTTTAGAGCTTTGAGGTTTGGGATTCCAGAGATTCGAAGTTTAGGGTTTAGAGCCTTACGGTCGTAGGCCTTTGAGTTGGAGCTTTAAGTTGCAGCATCTGGGCTTTGGCGTACCATACTTTAATACCTTTTTGGACCTGGTACTTAAAGGGAGCCCAGTATGAAAAAAAAGTCTAAACTTTTTCTCCCTGGTTACTTCAAAGCCCAGACATAGCTCTGGGGCATTCGGCTATTGAGATGTAGGTGCCAGGTTTAGAGTTCGTGCTTCTGGAGACTGAAGTTTTTAGGGCTTTAGGTTCTAGGGTTTAGGGTCTAGGGTTCAGGGTCTATAGGGTTTAGAGTTTAGGGTCTAGGGTTGAGGGTCTAGGGTTTAGAGTTTAGACCTTTAGGATTTATGCTTTCAGGATCCAGCGCTTATCATTGAGTAACCTTGAGGGCTCAACAGCCCTCTCTGTGGTCGGGTCCATGGCACCCAACTAAACTAAGCCTTAAAGCAAAGGTCCTTGGAGGCTTATGGCTTAGGGACTACAGGAATGAGGGCTCTTCGGAGCTTTCTTGGAGGATCATGGGACTTAGTAAGTAAGGTAATAAGTACGTTAATTAAGGTTATAAGTAGTTATAGGCATAGTTACCCGAATTAAAACCCCAGTTGCTAAGTCCCGTGATCCTTTAAGTACAGGAATGAAGGATCTTAGGATCTTTAGGGAGAGAGCATGAAGAGCTCGAGTTGATTGTATTGTGCTGGTACGCGAACTTCCATGGTTTGGTCCGGAGCAGCGCAATTTTCTGTTGCAGAAACGTTCCCAGTGGCCTTTGGCTGGGACCCAGTTGCGGCCCATGACTTGCTGGACAAATGGCACAGCAATCAGGTAGAAGAGACAAGCAAGGCCGCAAGACTTTCACCATCCAGTGTGGAAGCGAAGCGGGGAAGAACTGCCGACTGTCCCACCAGCACATGAAGAGCCCCTGGGAAGAAAGTCAAAGACTGCAGAGGGGCGCAGAAGAGGCCAGGCAACATGATGCAGCAATATCCTGAGCAGATAAAGCGTTAGTTGGCTTTGCAGACTAGGGTTTAGGTGTTGATGGCTTCCGGGTTTAGGGGTTTAGGGCTGATCGAGGGTTTCGAGCATTGCGAGGGCTTCTTTAAAGATTTCGGACTTAAGGATTTTGGCTGTATGGGATTTATTGCTTGAGTGGTTCAGGGATTAGGGCCTTAGGGCAAGGATTGGCGTGTTTTGGCCTCAAGGATTGCAGGTTCTGGGCTTCAGGGATATGCTGTTGGGGATTATAGGGCCGCAGAGCGTTGAGTTCAGTCTTACGAACTGAATTCCTGTTTCCTGGACCCAGAAACTCAGAGAGTATAGGGGCATGAACGTGATGGTCCCTACAAACCTATACTCTATAAGATACACCCAAACTCCATTGCTACTTAGTTACACTCGAAACATGGAGGCCTTAGAAACCCAAAGGGTTGAGGTAACCATACTTATAATATGAGCCCTATAGAATCCTTTAAGGAGCCCTTTCAGGAACCTTACTTACTAAGTCCCTTGATCCCCAACCCTGCATCTCCAACCCACGACACCCAGACCCGGCGCTTGCAGAAAGTCTCACAACTTGGAGGCCCTGTTGGCTTAGTAAGTCTACTTAGTATCCCCTAGAAACCCTAGTATAATCCCCCTAACCCACCTTACTAACCCTACTTACCAAGTCAAAAGGGCCTCCAAGAAGTAACCCTGAAAGCCAAAACCCTACGCCCTGGCAGGATCCCCCCCCCAGGTGCCCTTTTTCACAGAGCCTCCATGGTCCTTTATCGTGGGTAGGTCTATTAGAGGGTAGTTGGGGGGTCTCCTTAGCTTTTATGGTCCTCAATAGTGAGTATTTTAGGCTCATAAGAGGGTAAATGGAGGGTCTAGACCCTAAGCCCTACACCAAAAACGTTTAAAACCTATGTCCACCAGGTCTCCTGCACACGTCAGCACCGTCCTCAGGGAGCAAGCGTTATGGTGAGCTATACTTTGTCATAGTTGGGAAAACTGTACATGTGCAATGGGTGTTTAAACCCAATAAGGAATAGAAATGTACAGTTTGAATCCTATCCCAACCATGAGCTAGTATAAGCACAAGGCTACTTGTTGAGGGGTTAGAATTGTCCGCGCAATACTCCTTCACCTCATTGTAGCTTGTTATACAATACACAGATGACTTAGAGTCCTTTTGGATTTGATCTCGATCCCCGAGGGTCTATATCTGGTTTCTATAGTAGTAGGATTTGCTTTTATCCTAGTAGTGGAGTAGGTAACCTTTAACCTTTCTTGGGTAGTATAGTCCCTATATAATCCCTATATACCCAAAAAAGGTTAACCTGCAGTTGCCCATGATACCCGAGAAGTAGGTTATGGTTTGGGTAAGTATCTCCCATATGGGTACTTTGGACCCTTTGGGGGTCCAGTCTCGCGACAAGCGCACATGCGTCTGAAAGACCATGATTCGACTACGTTGCAGCCCGCCGCTAGCAGGGCCTAATAGTAAACCCCATAAAGTTGGAAATCGGATAAGGACAAATCTGGCTGTGATTCCCTACTATACATTACTCTTAAGTATTGAGGCTGTTGCGTTTCCGGGTTTCCAACTTTTAGGCTTCTGCTGTAGATCAAAAGGCTCCCAGAATGGGATGAAGGTAGGTGGGGTAATCGCAAGACAACAAGAGTTTTTGGTAAAAGGGTCGGTAATCCTACTTAGCTTCATCCCACCTTTTGAGGCCTCCAGTTAGCCCATGGCCCGAAACAGCCCCAAAGCCTTGTATAGTATGGTCTTTGGCCCAAATGCCTGAAAATATCAGTCAATGGAGGTAGGGTTAGCGAGCCCTCAAACCCTAAACCCGTATGGTACCCTTGTAGACTTGTAGGACTCTAAACCCTTAAACCCTTCTGGGTATATGGAGCTTTACGGAAGCCCTCATTGCAATCAGAACATAGGGTTTGGGGCGGGGCCATGCTGCGGGTTCGAACCTTGCTAACTGAATTGGCATGTACTTTAGACTTTTGGGGGGGTAATATAAGCACATAACTATCTATAGACCACAAAAAAATCAAAATTTCTTCGAGCTTTTGAATTCAACAACTAAGGAACCGTGTCCGGTGAAGGACTCCTTGACCTTGACTTGGCGAGCTTTCTCCAGACTCTTCCTGAAGGCATGCATCCCGTCCGGGCATTGAAGCAGCACTTGCGCGCAATGTGTGGACTGTCAAGGTTCCGGCAAAGGCTGGTATACCTCGAAGAGGAGGACGATGCTGGTGATGGTAATGTGGTCTTGGATGACGATCGCACCTTGAAAGCCGGGGAAGTGCAGGTCGTTCTTCTAAGCTTCTGCCAAGCATCTTTGGCGCAAGTGGCAGCGCTGCAGGATGCTGCAAGACTCGGTTTGACACGTGAAGCGGAAAATATTCTACAAAGGCCTCAAGACCCAGACTTAGCAGGTCTCGGTCATCCAGCTCCACTGTTTGTGGCAGCCCGGCACGGCCACCTTGGGGTGACGCGCGTTCTGCTGGAGGCGAAGGCTGATAAGGACAAGGCCACGAATGATGGCAACACCCCTTTGTGCATCGTAGCTTGGCACGGGCATTTAGAGGCTGTACGCCTCTTGCTGGAGGCGAATGCGGACAAGGACAAGGCCAAGGATGACGGAGCCACCCCTTTGTTCATAGCAGCTCAGAAGGGACACTTGGAGCTTGTACGGCTTCTGCTGGAGGCGAATGCGGACAAGGAGGGATACTGGAGCCACCCCTTTGTTCATCGCAGCTCAGAAGGGACTGTTGGAAGTTGCACGCCTTTTGCTGGAGGCGAATGCGGACAAGGACAACGCCATGAATGATGGCTGCACCCCTTTGTTCATCGCAGCTCAGGAGGGACAGTTGGAAGCTGGCACGGCTTTTGCTGGAGGCGAATGCGGACAAGGACAACGCCATGCATGATGGCTGCACCCCTTTGTTCATCGCAGCTCAGAAGGGACAGTTGGAAGTTGCACGCCATTTGCTGGAGGCGAATGCGGACAAGGACAACGCCAAGGATGACGGAGCCACCCCTTTGTACGTCGCAGCTCAGAACGGACACTTGGAGCTGGTACGGCTTTTGCTGGAGGCGAATGCGGACAAGGACAACGCCATGCATGATGGCTGCACCCCTTTGTTCATCGCAGCTCAGAAGGGACAGTTGGAAGTTGCACGCCTTTTGCTGGAGGCGAATGCGGACAAAGACAACGCCATGAATGATGGCTGCACCCCTTTGTTCATCGCAGCTCTGAACGGACAGTTGGACCTTGCACGCCTTTTGCTGGAGTCGAATGCGGACAAGGACAAGGCCAAGGATGACGGAGCCACCCCTTTGTTCATCGCAGCTCAGGAGGGACAGTTGGAAGTTGCACGCCTTTTGCTGGAGTCGAATGCGGACAAGGACAAGGCCAAGGATGACGGAGCCACCCCTTTGTTCATCGCAGCTCAGAACGGACAGTTGGAAGTTGCACGCCTTTTGCTGGAGGCGAATGCGGACAAAGACAACACCATGAATGATGGCTGCACCCCTTTGTTCATCGCAGCTCAGGAGGGACAGTTGGAAGTTGCACGCCTTTTGCTGGAGGCGAATGCGGACAAGGACAACGCCATGCATGATGGCTGCACCCCTTTGTTCATCGCAGCTCAGAAGGGACAGTTGGAAGTTGCACGCCATTTGCTGGAGGCGAATGCGGACAAGGACAACGCCAAGGATGACGGAGCCACCCCTTTGTACGTCGCAGCTCAGAACGGACACTTGGAGCTGGTACGGCTTTTGCTGGAGGCGAATGCGGACAAGGACAAGGCCAGGGATACTGGAGCCACCCCTTTGTTCATAGCAGCTCAGAACGGACACTTGGAGCTGGTACGGCTTTTGCTGGAGGCGAATGCGGACAAGGACACCGCCATGCATGATGGCTGCACCCCTTTGTTCATCGCAGCACAGAAGGGACAGTTGGAAGTTGCACGCCTTTTGCTGGAGGCCACTGTGGACATGAGCAAGGCTGCAGGATGGCATCACCTCTTTGCATGGTGAACCCAGACCTTCCAAAATCCCTTAATTAAGGAATATACCTTACATTATAATAGGATCCCTAATCTGAATTAAGGTATGTTCCTTAACTAAGGGATTTTGGAAGGTCCGGGAAGCTTGTAACGGGCACTTAGAGGTTGCACGCCTTCTGCCGGAAGCCACAGCTGACAACGACAAGGCCACGGATGATGGCATCATGCCTTCTTCATTGCAGCTGACCCTAAGGCTCCATGTACCCATATAGTATATACTTAGCCCTTAAAGTACCTACATAGGGCCCCGTTTAAGGCTTAAGTATCTACTATAATGGTACATGGAGCCTTTGGGTGAGCATGGGAAGTTCGAGGTTGCACGTCTTTTGCTGGAGGCCGAAGCGGACATGAACAAGTCCACACGGGATGGCGCCACCCCGTTGCAGATTTGCAGATCAAAACGGGCACTTGGAGTTTGCACTTGTGCAGTGCTGGTTTTGCTCGAATAACCTACTGTTCCACAGATAACTTCATGTACGTGCATACTCTTATAACATATACATACATTTCTGGTTCTAAATAGAATATATATATATATATATATATATGTAAATACGTGTACGTAGCATATACAGCTATTCCCCCCGCAGAACTCTGGAGCACCAGCGTGTAGGGTTGAAACCTACCAACTCTAGGACCTAGAGTAGGCCCTTATTCCCTTTTTTAGGGTTCAGGTTCCCTTATAAGTCCCTTTAAACCAAAAAGGGCACCCTTTTTATTCCTAGGCTACTCTTGGGTCTAGAAATCCAGCAACTCCATATTCGAAACCATTTGGACACCCTTAACTCTAGACGGCTATACAACAACCTCTTCAGTAACCCTCAATCCGTAAACCCCAAACTCTAAACCCTTAAAACCCATCTAACCCTGAGTCTGAGGCCTCACATAGGGCTCTGAGGAGTATTATGATTAAATGTACAGTTATGCTTATTGTAACTCTAAACGAGGACATTATGTTATTTTGCCCAGACCTTCCAATATCCCTGAATCAAGGAGAATACCTCAAAATATAGTAGGACCCCTCATGTGACTGAAGGTGTGTTCCTTCAGTAGGGGATATTGGAAGGTCTGGGTCGCAGCCAAGACTAAGGTTACAAAATAGACAACTGTATTGAGACTCACTCATAGCCAACATCAAGGCAGTTAAAACCGTACTGAGTCAGTCCCATCCTAGACCTCCCAACTACGATATAATATACCCCACTTGGAGGCCCTTTTGACTTAGTAAGTCTACTTAGTATCCCCTAGAAACCCCATTATAATCCCCATAACCCCCCTTACTAACCCTACTTACTAAGTCAAAAGGGCCTCCAAGCAAACACCCCACTATTCGGGACCATAAGGGCTCCATTAAAGGACCTTTGAAAGGTTCCTGGATGATCCTTTGGATACCCTACTTGGAGGCCCTTTTGACTTAGTAAGTAGGGTTAGTAAGGTGGGTTATGGGGATTATAATAGGGTTTCTAGGGGATACTAAGTAGACTTACTAAGTCAACAGGGCCTCCAAGTATAAGGATCCATGTACCCAATAGTACATACTTAGGCCTTACTATATACTATGTGTGTACATGGATCCTTTGGGATAAGGTCGCAACCAACACTGTGCTTTCTTCGACTTCGTCGGCTTGACCCCCGGCTTTTTGCTGGGTTCAGAAGTACCCGGTTTAGGGTTTAGGGTTTCGTTGAGGGTTTAGGGTTTAATTACCATACTTTAGTCCTTTTTTGCGGAGACCTGTTCCTTAAAGGAGCCATTATGAAATCAACGCGTACGTTTGTTCCCAGTTCTTTCAAACCAAAGCCCAGCTAATGAACCGCCCAGAGACGCCGAACGGAGCGAATTAAGTGAGATGTTCTTTAGATGATGGTAAGGACCCTTCATAAAGTGCCGCGAACTGAAGGATACGGGGATCTTGTGATTTATGGTTGTTTGATTTTGGGCGTTTGTGAGTTTAGAAGGTATTAGAAAGGGGGTTCTGGATCTGGTTTAGGATCCAAATTTCTTGATTTACGCATGTAGCTTGTAGGGTTCATGGTTTTGAGCTTGGTGAGTGTAGGAGTTCACGATCTATAGGGCTTGACGTTTAGAGGCTGGTGGTGTAGAAGGGTTTTTTGTGCAGTGTGCTTGTGCTAGTAGTTCGGGGAAGTTGTGTGTCTGGGTACGTTTTGTTTACTGCATTGCCATCGCAGGTTCTGGATTTCGGCTGTGTTGTAGGATCTTTGACGAGTCCTACACGCGTAAAACCTTGCACTCGTAGTAAAAGAACCCACAAGGTGGTGTGGTGCCGTCTTTCGCCCGCGGATATTAAAATGTAAGATACGCTAAGACCTTAGGGCTTGTTGGCTTAAGGTTTCAGGCTGCAGGGTTGGCTAGAGAACTGGAAGGCGAATTGAGAACTACTAATGCTGGGAGTCGCTCAACCTCGTTGGAAAGAGTATGAGGAGCAGGATGTAGTTTAACGGGAGTAATATGGATTGGAATGAATACTAACAGTATCTCTTTTCAGTCCCTATATGTTCTTGATAAGTTCTGTAATGTACCATAGAAAGCTTCTTCTAGCTGTCATGGACCAGGGCCTTTCTCGAGCAGGTTAAGATTCCGGCGCATTGATGGTTTTATTCACAGCTTCGGGGCTTCAGCGTGGTAGGTTGTCAGAGGTTTGAAAGCTTTGCAGGTTGCAGATCAAAGCCCAATATTTCGTGAATATGCCAACTATACGATCGAATGATATTCTGCTGGTCAATACGGTCTGAGATATATCGCGTACTTGAGGGGTATTGGCTCTCTGGTGTGATTTCGCTTTTGCAAGTCAATGACATCTTCTCGGGAAGCCCGCTGGTACAGCCCTTTCTTCCTTGACTTGTTCCTGGCTTACCTCATGAACCTTGCCTAAGCAGGGCAGATACAACAACGAATAATTAAAGGGATGGCCAGTGTTTAGTGACATCCCCAAGCCCTAGTCGAGTTTTTGATTCCCCTACATTCGGTTGCAGGTCTTCACGTGGCTGTTTTCCATGCTCCTCGCAGGAAGCCCCTGCAGGTACTGGAGGGGTGCTTGCGGTTTGGGGTATTTGGGCAGTCCCTGGGGTTTAACGATAGCATGGTTTAGGACTGTTTCCGGGGCTTTCAACTGTGAGAGTCTGGGGTTTCGCATTAAGATTTCAGTTTCAGGATGTAAGAGACAGCAGAGTTAACAATTCGGCCATTAGAGGTCAACTAGAAAAAAGAACGAGCGAGTCGGGCTTATGACCCTGTGAAAGATCATGAAAGATCCACTTGCGCAGTCCGTTGAGTCCGTTGATCTTGGTGCATCAATCTTCTCAGTCTGGCAGTTGGGGCTGCAGTTGCACAGAAAACCTTAATGTAAGATCCCTCATAAGACCTTGCAGCCGTATAAGGGCAGCCGATCCCTGTATTAGCCATGGCCGCGTCCGCCCCTCAACCTATGGAGCTGGTGCCGGCGGATCAACGTCCGGAGACGATCTAAATCGCCCAGACCTTCCAAAATCCCTTAATTAAGGAATATACCTTAAACTATCATAGGATCCCTAATATGAACTAAGGTATATTCCTTAATTAAGGGATTTGGGAAGGTCTGGGCGGCACTCGCAGCCGTTTGGCAACAGGAGCCAAGTATGTCTGGCGCTACCAACTCAGCAGCGTGGGAGCACAGCGCATATTTTGCGTGTGCCTTGAGGTACCCAGTACCACCTGCGGCGACGGCGATGTTCCTTTCATCGTGCCGGAGACGGATGGCGGCCGCGTTTGTCACGTGGCCTATAAGACTCTAAAACCTAATAGTAGAGTAGGCAACCTTTAACATTTTTTGGGTAGTGTAGTCCCTATATAATCCCTATATAGCCAAAAAGGTTAGACTTTAGTTCCCCATGATACCCGACAAGTAGGAAAGCCTTTGTAATTGCCCGTGCCAAACCCCAAAGCCCACACCCCGAACAGTCTACGCTGAAGCCGACCCTAACACTCTATAGACCCTACCTGAACACCAAAACACCCTACTTTTTCCCGGATGTGACAAAAAGGAAGCCGTGATCGGGAGCCCTAAAATTGGATAGCCTTTAAGGATCAGATAAACCCTAAACTACCAGGTTGAAATAGCCCTTAGGTTGAAATAGCCCTTTACGTTTCATTTGGCTAACACCAAAAAGGCAGACCCCAAAGCCCCAAACCCCAAACCCCTAGCCCCAAACCCTACTGAACCGTATTCCCCAGACTCCCAGACCACAATCCCTGGCTCTTGTTCAGGAGTTTACTTACTGATATGAAGTTACCACAATAGGGATCCCTCTATAGTAACTAATATTGCTTCCTTATTCGGGTAACTTAGATTGAATCCCTATACCCCTAAAGGAACCCTTATAGATCCCTTAAAGGAGGCCTACGGTTTCCTTACGAGGGTAACTTAGCCCAGAGAGCCCAATACCCCCTAATTAGGGAATGTGGCTTAAATAATAATTTGAAGCCCCTGATAATTTAAGCCATATTCCTTAATTAAGGGGTATTGGGCTTTCTAGGAGATTGAGTCCCTCAACAAGAACCCAGAAACCCTAATCCGGAAGCCGCAGAAGTTCTAGGGCCCCAGCTCCTTGCCTATGTTCAGCTGAAGGGATCTATAATAGGGTTCCTTAAAGGGATCTACAGGGTTTCTTCTTCCGGATTAGCTGGAGTCGACGTTCGACGCACGACGGATTCAGCATGCAAAGAACTAGACATCAGGAAAGTCGCACTGGAGGGCATGCATGGTAGCTGAGTCAGCTATCATGGCTCGCCCCTCCCTCTGCATGTACGATATTCCTTCTGCCTCGAAAAAGGATGGGCTCTGCACATCCATACAAAATTGGGACCAAGCAAGAGCAAATCGTTGAACTTGGTTGCTCACGCATCCTTGCATGCGGTGCCAGGAGTTGCGGAGCTCCCCAAGATCTACGCAAGAAACAGCCTCGAGCCACCGCTGACAAAACATGGGAAGGCCAGCGAGCTCCGTGATGCTAAGGACCTTGTCGACGTGTTGGCCCTTAAAGCGCCCCGGGCCTTCCCAAACAGACCTTAAAAATGAGCCTTCAAAGGTTTAAGGCACATTTGAGATTTTTAAGGTCCATTTGGTTTTTGTCAGCATCATGATTTATCGGAATGAAATTAGCATCATAGAGCATCGGTTTGAGCCTTCGAGCCAGAGAAAAACAAAGCATCATGAAGCATCGTAATGAGCCAACAAACATAACGAAAAGCATGCAAGATTTATATTTCGAAACGAAGCATCATGCAGCATTGGCTTGAGCCTTTGAGCCGACAAAACCCTAGACAGCAACCTAAATTAGGGTTTATAAGGGGTGTTTATAGTACAGATCCTACATTAAGCACAATTGTATGGTTCTTCTTGATTGTTGGTAAGATGGTGATACCGTCGCTGGAATCGGGATCGGGCTTTCTATCTATGCAATACAAGGACTTCCGGAAAAAACACTTCGCACTCAGGGTTTAGGGATATGTTCTCGGTTGCGAGCCTTCCCAGGTATAGGGTTAACTGCACAGAACCCCAACTTAACCCGAATATTTAGCCTCTGAAGCTATAGACGATAATGCCAAGACTTTATAAGGCGACACTCTTCAGAAGATTCCGTTGAAACCACAGAAAGCTTCCTGATAATTCTGAAGTTCCTGAATACCCTGGCCAGCCTCATCTTAAGCGGCTGTGAATGAGCTTGGGGAAGAAATGTAAAGGGTCAATGTGGGTCATATATATACGTGTATATGGATGGGGTTTATAAGGCAAATATTATAAGTGGTGGTATGGGCTTGCAAGCTTTTGAGGTTTCAAGGTTTGGAAGGGCTTTAGAAGGATCGATTTCGAAACACTACAATTACGGATTTGGGTACTGACTTATGATAGAATTGCAAGTCAAGCTAGAATCTAGGAAATGGCCTTGAGGGCTGGGGGTTTTATAGAGGGCCTTCGAGGAATGCAACTTAAAGAAAACTGACATTGTTTTCAGCGCCCCTGCTGACACTCCAACCGGTGCTTCTGGACCACGAGCAGGCGCTTGAGAAGATTCAGCGAAGCTGTTTTCCTGTGTACCTTTCGGTACACCCGTAAAGAATATTTCACAAAGTCTTCATCAAGCCAACAGGAATCCACGGAGGGGTTTCTCCTCGAAGCACGAAGCATAACATCACCCAAAAGGTGTGTGACCATGTGATACTTTGGACGTATCTTGAAATGCTTCTCTTGTTTCTGATGAGCTATGGCCGCCAACTGAGAGTACGTGTTTTGGTACATGGAGCCCAGAGTGTGAATCGCATCGCACTCCTCGTCTGACAAGAAGAAGTCAGCTCTCATCAGGGTCTGCACCATGTTGTGGGCCGACCAGACACAAGCAAGTAGCCCATCATACGGTGCCGGCATTGGCTGCTGTTGCAGTCTTTCTGCAAGATAGTGTAAACAAATTCCTGCATCCGCTGCTGATGCATGCAGCTCGGGGCATTTCTTCTTTTTCCACACCAGCATTTCCTTTGTGATCTTCTTGAAATTCACCTGTTTCCCATGCCTTTGAGCAAAACTTCGGATTTCCCGAACCAATTCAGCCAGACGCCCAGAAAGCCTTGAGGATTGAAAGTATAGACCGTCACGACGCTTGCACATTAGCTTGAAGGCCGATCCTACCAAATCTCGGCAGCAGCCGAGATGCCATAAATGCATGACATCTAGAGCCAGCATTCCGGTGTTGAACCCAACCAAGCCGGACAAGGCGGGAGGTATTTCCCATGGTTCTTCAATATATTCGGTGGCCCGCCACATTGCCTCTGGCCCAGCATCAGTGTAAACTAGATCAGGCTCATGGCGACCCATAGATGCTAAGCAACGGAAGCACACCTGCGTGAGCACATCGTATAGCTTAATTCTTCCTCGAACCATAGCTATAATGCATAGAAGTGCAACCACAACATCTTATGAATTATGAGTACCTATCACCCAGCAAAACAGTGACCTTGAAAATAACTTACTTGGAAGTATTTAGGGTTATATAACGTACATTAAGTCAAAGGAATCTGATCTAGGCACCATAAACCCCCAAACGGTTTACTATATACGTGACAAGTGACAACCCTAACTCAAACCCCCGTACGTGTTCCTCCGACAACATCCAATGTCTTCGTGCCGCGGTTGCGCCTGCTCCGAGCCGGGTGAGCGAACCAAATTGAAGGCCTGCTTCATGTACTTCAAGTCTCCTTTGATGGAAACCACATAAAAGTAGAACACCTTGGGCCAGGGGTGTAACATGGCATAAACCCTACAGCCAGACCTAAAACACTAAGGGGATAGTATACTGTAGACCGTGATTCGGACAAAATTTCTAAGCCAACTGTTGACGATATCCTACTATTCAATCACAGGAACCCCATGATTCGTGGAAACCCCCTGGGTCGAAAGCTTGTTGAAGTCAGCCACCAGTCGTCCATACAGGGATTGCAGGGTTGTATTGACCTTTCCATCCATCCAATAAGCAGATACCGGCATTGAAAACATAGCACATCTTGAAGCCCTTGAGTCGTTTCGGCAGGGGCTGAGGTCTGGCATCCTTGGACTTCATAATATGGAAACATTTTGTGTTAAAGCAGGGGTTTAGGGTAATCACAGCAAATCAAGCACCATCATCAGAGCAAGTAGCCATGAAGAGATCATCCAGCTCGACTTTTTAATGGTGCCTTCGTCTCCCCAAAGGCAGACCGGGATCGAACACCGCCATTTTTCAGGTTGTCTCACCAACGGGTGACCAGGAAAGTCCTTAAGCATTCTCCCCCAATAATCCTCCAGATGGTCAGTCGGCGCCAGGCTTTGCAACCAACCCTCGTTGATGAGAGCTGCAGCCTGGGCACTAAACAAAAGGAGGATTGGGGTTTCATCGGGAGTTTTCTATACAGTAGAAGCCAGAAAGTTGGAACATGGCTTTAAGAGGATTAGTGCTAGGATCCCTTATACTTTACCTTAAGGGCATGAGGGTAATGATGTTCCAACTTTCTGGCTTCTACTGTACCCTAAACCCTAAACCCTAATTCTGTTTGTAGGATTTATGTAGTAGCCCGACTATCAAACCAGGAAGCAAGGGCACTAGGAGATAGGATAGGCCAGCTCTCCATCTTCATGTTGTGAGTGTTTTCATCCATCATAGGGACCAGAATCCATTCCAGATCGCACTTGATGGCTCGGCCCGACGCTGCTACACGTTGGTGGAATTCTGTCTCTCGTAAAGGCCTGCTCGGGTATCCTGCCAATGTCGCCGACTCATACACATCGCCTGAAACTCAAAGCTTTAATTAAAGGCATCCATAAAACACTTAAGGGCTGGTTTAGTGATTTCTAAATCAGAAGCAGACCTATACTTAAGTTTCTAGTATCCCCACGGCCAAACTTTTGAACTCACCATGGCATATCAAGCACCCAGTCACCAAGCTCACAGCTGAGACCAATCGTAGTATCGCCAGAACACGTAGCACGGACTAGCCTGAGCAATTTGAAGGCTCTTAACTGATGCACAATGAACCACACTTGGGGCTTATGTGCAGAATAACTCTATTCCAGACAAGGTAGCACATCATCCAATCTGTCTTGCAGACGTTTTGGACGTGGCGGTGTAGGACCTGCGAGGGAGTACGTACTGATATCTAACTTATACATGCAACTGCATCGGAAGTTGCACATACAAGCTCACCGACTGTATGGTTGCAAAGCGCTTTTCTGGCCAAGGCATCTCGGTGAATGGACGAAGAGTAATCGCAGGGCGGGTCCGAGGCTGAGATCTTTCGGCGCAGGATGTTCTACCACACATTCACAGCCCCTGCAATGCATGGGGCACCCGATGCCTGGGATCTAGCGCAAAACCTGGTTGTTGCACTTGCAGCTGCAGCTTCAAGAAATGCATGCGGATAGCATCTCTGCTTAGCATGTTCAGATGGCAGGCTAGAATAATGCGCTGATTTGCAAGCACAACAAACCACCCCTGTCAGCTAAAGTTTAGCTGCAGTCTGCATCGAGACCATCTATAGCCCATGGTATACCTTAAGGTATTCAGGAAATACCACCCTGCTTCTTCATCTCATTGATGAGGCCCTTGGCTTGGCCTCTGGTCATCTTCAACAACTCCACCTGCAAGACGGCATATGGGGTTTAGGATGCATATGGAGTTTTCTTGACTTAGGGGGGGGGGCTTTCGGTTTAAAGCTCCTTACGGTGTCAGAGGGTTTAGAATTTGGGGTTGATAATTGAGCTCAGAATTTAGAAGCATTGGAAGCTCCGATTGTGAGAACAATATGCAGTCCTGAACCCATCTCTGCCTCTCTATCCCTCTCCCTCCCGAACTCCCTTCCCTCCATGTCTTTGTCTCTGTGTCTGTCTGTTTGAAAACTCTCTGTCTCTGTCTCTGTCTCTCTCTCTCTCTCTCTCTCTCTCTCTCTCTCTCTCGTCTTTATCTTCTATAGTTCAACACTCACTCTCTCTCTCTCGCTCTCTCTTTCTCTCCCCGTCTGAATCTTCTAAATTTCAAGTACAGCCACACTCGGGTTCCTGGAGTTCGTTGATTATGTGCATTCAATCGAAGCCTTGGGGAGTGAAGATGCATTCGACTGGTTCCGTATATGGCCTCTTCAGCAATCTTGCTGCAAAGCGGGTCCATATCCTCGTGGGTCTTGGCGTTCTTGAACCTGAAGGGCTTACAGCTTAGGGGTTACTGTAAGTAGTTGCAGCCATACTGCTGGTGGTTGTGGTAATACGGACACTGGTAGTGTAGTTTTGAAAAACCTAAAGGATATAGGTGACTGCTATGCGTTCGGGTGATAGCCATTGCAAGATTTAACACAAGTAAAAAGATGGACTACTATATAAGCAGAAAAACCAGCAAGTAGTCGAGTCAGTAGTACATATAGCAAAGCTTCGGAAACAATGTTTCTATGTTCTTCCTATGTCACCTTTCACTAGAATATTACCCCATCTTCCGGAATCTCCAAGAGCGCTAACCCGACAATCCGAAAGTGTATGATGCATGCCCTCGATCTATG